CTATAAAGCGTAGCACAGGGTGCCCACTCAGGCCAGAACGCAATATTAAGATAAGCAACGCGGTCTGGTTTAATGTTAGTACAATAAAGAACACATAGAGAAGTTGAGCTAGTTGATTTATTTGAGTTGTAGTGGGGTGTATTGCGTGGGATGGTGTAGTATAGTAAGGTTGAGATGGATAGATATTCCATCGAGTAGCTCAAAATGGGATGGTTCAGGTGGGTAGAGAGGTGGGTGGGGTGATATATAGAGGTTATATCAGATGGTTACAGTGGTTTAAAGCACTGAAATGAGTTGGTGTTAGTAGGGGGTTGGCAGTTTTAGAAGAATGTTATAGTCTTTGGGTCTTCTGCACTAAAGTGGGTAAAAAGCACAGTTGAATAGCTCAATTAAGAGTTGGAGTTACTCAAAGCGTGTGTGTAGAGATAAATGAATATGGTCGAGTTGTTCTTTGTTAATATCATTGATTAACAACTTTTTGTCATTATAGACCAGGTAAAAGTAACGGCGGATCTACCCAGTATATCTTAATCCACAGTAAAGATCAGATTATTTTTTCAATAATGGCAATTTCCTTTTAAGGTAATCTGATGAGGTCATCGCTTATTTAGGAATTTTTTGGCTTTAATTTCTAACCCATGATAAAACAATCAAAAAGCTTGCCTGCCAAGCTAATTCTAGTCCTCTTGCTCGTCTTAAGCTTGTTTAAAACATCAATTCAAAGTATGTGTTCTGATGATCAGGAAGTAAAGCTTCCAGATTATTCCTGTTCTACCCTAGAAAATGGTCTTAAATATCTTATCATTATACAGCCCAATAACCCAGTAACACATATTAGTATCTCTATCAAGAAACGGCACTGCACTACATCGGCTAAAGGCAAATACCTCAGCTGCATTTTAGAAACACTTCTCAAGTATAAGCTAAGCCCCGACAATAATCACAACCAATACCAAGCGTTCCTAAGCAAAACCAATGCCCAAAGGATTACATCTAGTAGGGATTTTATGACAATCGAGTTTGTTTCAAAAGAGCCCCTATCTCTAAACCTCTTAGATATTTTACATTCCGTTATTGTTTCCCCACCCAACCTACAACTAGCCGCCAAGATTAAAGAGCACTGTTTTCCAAACCTTCAACGTAATAAACCAGAGCTTCTTCCTACTGATGCCGAGATCACGAGCGAATGGACCAATACCTTATTCTTTCCAAATATTCGGCTTGTAATAGTTACTCCCAACAACCTATGTGATATACTAAACCTTCTAAACGGCCACGGCCGCCAGCAAACCATAGATCAGCCAGGCCAAAAGCCGATAATGTATCCACTTAACAAGCCAGCGTCCTGTCATTTGGCCAACCCCAACCGCGTAGTGATATGTCCTAAACCGTGTATCTCATCAAACACGAACGAAAAAACAATGATCCTTCTCTCCATTCCACTACTTGATGACATAACCACAAGCACTATACATCCACTAGCCCATCTATATCATTTATTCTGCTGCTGCAACCTAATATACAATAACTATATTCAAGCCCATCCAAGCAAGAATCTTCGAATCAAAAGAATGTCTCTAGCCTCCCGAGAAACCACGCTAAATATTAATGTGGCCATAGAAGTAGATGATAAAGATACAGTCCTGATTTCTGAGGCTTTAGCTATAGTAGAAGGCTTCCTCCAAGCTATCAAGACGTCTTACAAACAGCCAGACTCGGATTTAAACCAGCATTACAAAAAGCATATATCATCCGCACCAGGGAAAACAGAAAATCTGCTACTATTCGCCCTTCCTATTCTAGCCTCAGTACAGATGTTCTTTTTGGATGCATCCGAGATCATTAAGTTTGCCTTCGGTCCCGCGCCTCATCTCAACAACACCGATGAATTGGACCGTCTACTCGAAATCGGAATGAAACGAGATAATTGGCAAGTTAGATGCGAACTTTCACGTGCACACTGGCAGAAAATGCCGCAACAGATAGATACCGCCCCAGTTTCTCTATTCGTACCAGAAGTGGCCGCGAAAGCCGAACAAATCAAAAACATTATATGTTTTGGCCGCCCCGAAGCCCAACCAAACCAAACCCACGCTGCCTTAACCATTCAACCGCCTAGTTCTTCCAAAACCAACCCTCCTCTTCAATCACAAAATAGCACATCTATCCTCAAACAAATGCTGCCGTCACAACAAGCCCCACCCAGAACTCCACTATGCCCCGCCGATATTAATAATCAAGTCAACCCCCAGACCCCTTCTGCTAGTCTACTCAATACCAATTCCGGCCAAGTTACTCCCGGCAGTGTACTTCGTGACACACATACTGAGCCTGGCTTAGAAGCTTGCTTTTTCACTGATCCTCAGCAGCCAAAGGAATCGAGTGTTATAGTTGTGCTCGGCACCAATGATTACCTTGTTGACATTCAAACCTATGTCTGGCATGTTGCTCACGTGCTAACCGTATTAAATATCATCAAAAACGCCCATCACGATTGGTTCAAAGGCAACAGCATGCCTATTGATGCTCGGGTTAGTAGCGATGGTAGGATTATTGTTGTTGCTCGTGGATCAAACCCGCGGGCCACAGATGCTCTCGACTTGTTCTTTTCACTCTACAAAGCCGCCAACGGACTTATTCCTCAGAGCGCTGCAGCTATAGATAGGGCCAACAACTACTTTATGGGGGCACTCCAGCAACAAACACTTATTATAAAGAAGTCCATCTTTTCGGAGGTTTGGCGAACTCCTTTCTACACACCCAATCAATGCTGCGAGTATATTAAACAAAATAAGGCATCCAACGACATTCCGGTTGTTGATAAAGCTTTAATCAAGATAAAAGTAGAGAATCTACCCTACGCCTTCTTCCGTGAAACAATTAGTACAGTCAGAAAGTATATTACACCCAAGCCGTCCATTAAATACGAGCTGGTTCGTAATCACGACAAAACCATCTGTATATCATTGGATCCAAAACCAATTTCGGCTCTCGTTGGGTACTTTCATATCAATCCAATGGGCACCTTAAACAGAAGCAACTACCAAATGCTAGCATACTATTTGTTGATTGCAAAATTCCCGCCAAGAAGTATTGCGCGCCATGCTAGTGCCAAGGAAGTCCAAGCCTGGATAGATGCTCGTACACCCAACCCACCCGAGCCAGCCCCTAAGATGATAAAACCATTGACCAACTATCCTGCATTCCCCAAAACAGATGTTGACCTAGAAATATTCAATAATCTTGACCAATCCACTACGATTTTTGATGACACTATTATTCTGAACCTTACTTTAAACGGACGATATAGCCCGGCTGCAGTTTTAAACACGGTTCTAGCCTATCACATATACTTAGATTGGGTGCTTAGAGCTCTTACACCCGAACAGTTTATAGCCTGCAAGCAACGGGCACTGAATGACTTCTCTGCGGCCAATAGCACCAACAACCTATTCAAAAAGAGCTCTCTAATCTTCAACTGCAGCGACTTTTGGAAAGAGCCCAGTTATCAAGAAGAGCTCGAACGCACTCTCCGACAAATAACTAAAGAGGATCTCTACTCCTTTTTCCTAAACCACTGCCAACAACCTATGGTTGTGATATATAACTCTCAACCACAACCGCAACAGCTCTTATCCGCACCAAAACGAGCACCAACTACTTCCATAGATGAACTTGCACCCAGCCAGACCTTTAAAAAGGCCGCCCAAAGTAACCCACCTCAATAAAGGCATTCGACCATATTAACATGAGCAATAGTAATTCTGTACAAGAAGTCTCACCCCTACTACCCCATTTTAGACTAAAGTCACTAGGTGTCTAGCCTGCCTGAATTAGCAATTACCACGCGCGCAACAAGACCATGCAATCGCATAGGATTGTGTTTGGCTGTTGTGTAACGAATGGTTTATTTCCACTTAGTAGATGTTGCGAACTTAACATAGACGATTCAATACTAGCCCACTTCGACTGCTATGTTACGACAATTAGATTTATTAGTTGAGTTGCGATTGAATTGAGTTAGTATTGAATTGAGCAGATATTGAATTGAGTGAATATTAAGTTAAGCTGAGATGCACATGCTAAATCTTATCGCGTTTGGGAGAATGGACAGAGTAGGCTGTTAAGAAGCCGCTCCATGTAAATGAGCGAGACGGGCACAAAACAAACCGCCTAGAGCCAGGTGGATGGCAGGAGAATTGGACAACCCCCAAGACCCGGATGAAGGGGCAGATGGTGGCTTAGTGGCTATATATTCTACCCACTCATGAATACTGCCGGACGTCGTGTTCTTTGCTAAATATGGCTTAAGCACAGCTTGCAACCGTTTGACTTTCCCCAATGTATATGCAAAATGATCAGACACTATCATTGCATCCTGGGACAGCTGCTTAATCCTTTTAATCGGAATGATATCCTGAGGTCTACGCATTAGCAAGTCATCGAACACATCCAATCGCATTCTATGGCCATTTGGGCTAAAGCATTCGCCATACCATTCTTCTAACTCAGTAATAGGCGATAGATCTCTGTATATCTTCCTAACTGCCTCATCGGCGGACATACTTTTTATAATGCTAACAACGTTTAGATTCAAAATGGCATCTATTTTGCTTTTGTATTCACTCTTGATCTTGCCGCTAACATAACCATTCTGACGTGCATTGGGGATGTTTAAAAAGCTAGAGGCCATCAATTGCATTCTTAGTACGTCGTACAGGAAGTGTCTAAATTGGCGTTGGGCACAAAGGTTTTGGTTGGATGTAGATGGAGATCTAATCAATAGCCACCAAGCTTCCACCGCATTTTGAATATTATCCCTAGTAAAGTCTAACAGCTCGAACGGACTCCAGGCAAACAAACGTTCCGCATAATTCATAAACAGACTCTTTCTAATTAATACAAACTTGTTAGTAGACTCCGTTATATCCAATGGTCTAAACAAAGAAACAAGTTCGATTCCCGTGGCACTCTCAGTTATATTTCCAAGTAATTCAGCACACTCACGGGCCATGGCTCGATACTTATCAAGCGTCTTTACAGCTGCGTGCAATGCATATGCTAGAGAATCTTTCTCAAGATCAAAAGGACATTGCTGACCACCATGGGCGCTAATTGAACGGCAATTATCTAGCATTGCAATAATTCGTTTTGTATCCGAACTGCTTAGTAGCCCTGGTAGTAGTAAATCATCCCAATATCTTATATATCTTCTAGGCACATCTATAATATCAACTATTGTGCTGTCTTCAGAATCAAACTCCCGGCATCCTGGATTGGCATCATATCTAAGGGCCGCATCAAAAAACTTCCAGCCATTGCTTTTTAGAATGCATGTATCTTGCCGCCTGACAATTGCTGTACTCTCGGCACTAGTAGTATCACCACGCCAAGCCAGCAGCCAGGCCAGACCAACCCATAATGGTTTAAGAAGCAATTTCATATCTTTCTCTTCTTCCCCAAATATATACTCTCTACTTCTATCAAACTGATGTATGGCCATTGCCATAACCTCAATACCATACTAGCCCAATAGCTCTAGAAGTAGAATACAAACAAGGTAGGAGGCGATGAGCAATGATATAGAAAAGTGGATTAGTAGTTGCAAACCAACCTCAACCCATTTGACATTTTCATCTGGCTATGTCTTTAGGTTTGTGGCCACACTAACCAAAACGTGCACTCCACCTGACCAACATGACCTCTGACAAAGTTGCTCGCTACCCAGCACTCACTAGTCCAATACCAATACGTAGCCTCAGTAGAACACGAGGCTTTGAACCAACTTATTTTGCATATTTTATCTGCATTTGATATGACGTCATACTCTTACTAACAACTACATTTATTTAATAAAAGATAGCAGGGCGCGCCCCATGAAATGTTTTGGGTTAGTATATATTGGCTAATAGATCATGTTCATCTCCTGAACATTATAAAATGACATAATAAACGAAAATAGCAAATACTTTAAAAGCTGTATGTTCCCGGCAAATTATTTCCTAAAAAGGAAACGCGAAAAATTACCTAAAAAGGAAATACGAAAAAAATTACCTAAAAAGGAAGGTCTTACATGTTTTAATCAAAAAAATTAAATATTCCTCTATGATTAGTCAAACCAAAGCCAATCGATTGTTGTTCTTAGTCGGACTAGTTATGGTCGGATTGAGTTTCGCCAACGTTATTTCTCGGCCCAATAAAGATGACGAGCCTAACCTGTTTCGTAACGGTCAAATCTATACCAATTTGCAAGGATCACTTGACCATAATAGCTACAAAACCATTATTCTGCCCAATAAACTCCAAGTTGTTTTGATTACAACTCCCGAAAGTGAAACAAGCGCCGCTTGTTTAACCGTTCAGGTTGGTAGTATGCACAACCCCAGCGACCATCCCGGTCTGGCCCATTTTTTGGAACATATGTTGTTTATGGGCACCGAAGCCTATTCTAATGTTAACGACTACAACCAATTTCTCCAGGATCACGGCGGGAGTAGTAATGCTGCAACTTCTCTGGAGTACACGACATATTACTTTGATGTTTCATCAGACTATCTCGGCAAAGCACTAGATATATTTAGCGGCTTTTTCAAGTATCCACTAATTAAGGCTCAATACCTCGAAAAAGAGTTGGATGCCGTGCATAACGAAATGGAGAAAGGAATGGGGAATGATGTCAGACGATCTTTTATACTTGGACAACACCTTACCGACCCCGAGTCTCTACTATCGAAATTCGGAGATGGTTCGCGCGAAACTCTCAAAGATACCAAACGAGAACATTTACTTTGCTTTTGGAAGCAGTACTACCGGCCAGATAAGATGCGGTTAGTAGTCTATGGACAAGAATCGCACGATGTCCTAGAAGGCTATGTCAGAGCGTACTTTTCGGATATCAAGACCCATACTGACCACGAGTGGATCTTTTCCGATCCGCCCTACGAACTACTGGATGACGCCCTTCCCAAACCAAACGAAACTGATACGTCACACGAGCTAACCCGACCGGATTTACAAAACAAACTGGTATACTACAAACCCCAGAGCCCTAAAAACACAACAACCCAACTAACTGTTAAAATCAACCTACCCCAATCACTCCATGCATACGAAGAGAAGACAGTATCATTTATAGTTAGTGTGTTTAATGAAGGAAAAGAGCTGAATGGATTCAACCTGCTAATCAACAATAGCATGATTGTATCTGCCAGTTGTTCTTCTTCTAAGAAGACCACTGTAAGTTCTATAACAGTTGCAGTCAACTTTAAGTCCAGTACGCAGCCACAGATAGAAAGTGTTCTCAATCTCATCCAGGCTAAACTAGAAATGGTTCGCCAAATGGGCACACAAGAGCTCTACGATACTTATAAGAAGATATTCCAGGACCGAATGGAGGACTACAGTCCCAGCGGACCACGTGCTACGGCTTTAGAGATTTCCCGAAACCTTCCATGGATAGCTTTAGAAGACATTTTCTCTCTATCATACCAATGGGAAGCCTTCAATGCCCAGGAATTCTATCGTTTTGTTAACATCGCCCTAGACCGTTCAAAATGGCTAGTGATGGTTCGAACAAACGAGATGCCAGCCGATACTCCTCTCCAGACCGAGCCTTATTACGGCATTGAATATGCAGTAGTGGACCTAACTGGCAACACTGATGCCAAAATCGATTCAGTTGCCCAACAAATGGAATGGGATGCCAACTATGTCTTTGAAGAGGTTGATTTGACTATGGCTAGAGAGAACAATCAACTCTCAGCTAAGTTCGGCAGTTTTATTACAAACACCAATCTCTGCCCCTTTATTGAACAAGACAAACAGGAGTATGCTATTTCCCACAGTGAGCCCGGTTTAGACGCCCATCTTATCCATAACAAAGATATCACTACGAAAAAGACCAGGGTAACAATTGTTTTGAAGACTCAGGAGTTTGAAAAGGACGCTGCTAAACACGTAGCTTTCCGTGGATATATATCCGCTTATTTGAAGAAGTTCGATTCTAAGCATCGCGAGCAAATCAGGATATCTAACACCAATATATCGTCTCTCACTGCTAACACCGAGGAAGTTTGCATAATATTCTACGGTTATCCACTAGTTATTCAGAGTCTCATTGATTTATTCTTTGTTGAGTTTGCCGACCCTCGCCAAGATTATCTTGCCATGGTTCAGTTCGCTGCCCCCACTATGTTTGAGAAACTTCAATACCTAAAGCCTTTGGATGCTTGTGTGTCATTGGGATTTAGAATGTACACCCAAACACAGCCTTTTACCCCAACTGAACTCATTGCGGCTGCCAAGAACATTAAGCTCGAGGACATAATTGTTGTTTCTCAGGCCAAAATAACTATCTTTGTGTTCGGAAACACCACTGAAAACGAATTCCACCATATCATTGCAACAGTCAAGAAACACGTTACACCAACCCCTGCGCCGCAAACTGCCATACCCGGCACACTATCAACACGCATTGAGCTGCCTGCTGAAGACAAGCTTAACAATGCCATCATGTTAATCCATGAAGTGACCGAATTTAGCCCAATGAGAAACTTTGCGATAGCAGCATTGATTTGCCAAATCGAAAAAGAGTTGGTCCACACTCAGCTCCGAACCGAAGAAGAGCTTGGATATATTGCCTCTTGCGAACGCATCCATGGCTACAATAAGGACTGGCATCTCGTCTTTATTGTTCAGGGGTCGAAAGGCTTAGCCCACACCGAGACCCGCATACAGGCTTTTATCCAAGGCATAGGCGACCATATTGCCGGCCTCTCTGATGATGACTTCAAGAAGCACCAGGTGTCTCTTATAACCAAGCTAAAACAAAAGCCTGCCAACATCACCGATTATGCCAGGCGGGTATGCCTTTATTGGGAAAACATTGAAGAAGGTCTGGAAGCCAAGGCCAAAACCCAGGCCATGATTACCAGTCTCGCCAAAGAAGAGGTAGCTGCCTACATGCGCCATTGTGCCAATGACTTTGTGACAATCTGTTCTTCTAACAAGTTTGCTAAGTCAGCAACTGCGCAATCTACCCAATAAACTCGCTTAGGTTTTGAATATTATATATGCAATGCTTCTTTATTTGAAAGTTCTATAGGATAGTACTGCAATCTTAGAAACACATGTGTTCTGGATCAGCAATTAGAGTCCCCTGTCTTGATCAGACACATTTTGACCAAGGTTGTTATCAATTAGGTTAATATAATCATCCCAGGCCGGCAATGCCGCTTGGTAGCGCTGAATAAGGGAGTTGATTCTAGCTTGGTTGGTTTGAAAGGTTTGTTTTGGTTCTGGTAGCCTCCAGCTTGTGCACGATATGATGGCGTTGGAGCAAGGTAGATTGAGTGTAAACTTGATGACTTGATGAATGACGCCCATGAACTTATATACGCTAAGAAGCATTGTTAGAATATCTTTGGCTTTAGTTATACCCGATTTGACAACCTTGGAAAAGTGTGCTATATAGTCGTCATAAGTTGTGACTTTATCAGAATCATTTTCAAGATATGCAATAGTATTTTCGGTTTCATTTAAAAAGGTGTTTATCTTATCGCGGTTTTTAGGTGTAGTGGGAACCAAGTGAGTGAGAAAGTCTATAATAAAAAGCATGTTTTCAACTGGATCAACGCTGCCATCGGGTGGTGCTAAACGGCGATGCTTTTTATAACCAACTAACTTTGAGTGGATCTGCTGGCAACGAATGGTAAATTCGCCGACCTTAGTACGGGCAGCAATTATATGGATGAATTGTCTGGCAATTTGACGGCGACGGTCTTCCCAGGTTGTGGAGTCCGTTTGATCATATTTCTCTATTTCATCTTTAAGGCAGTTCAGCTCCGGCGTGGTCAGATAATGGCCGAGCCACACACAAGGCTCTGCAAAGCTATCAATAATCTTCACCCACAGTAAGTTGTAAGTTTCAGAAGGTGTCAGCACCAAGTTAACTTTTGTGTTCTTCCGATCCCTTAGCCGTTCAATGAATGACCTAATAGCCTTAGTGTTCAGATGGCCGGCCCCTCTGGGAGGCCCGAATACCATAGAAGGCATGAAACGAGTCGTAATATAGTCATCGCATCTCGACAATGCCTCTTCTCCGCAGGCCATTTCAACCGCCACATTCATCATGCCTTGAATGGTAGATACACTCTTGTTTTTTAGAATAGCATTAAATGATAGAGGCTCTGAATTGAATTCTTCAATATCTTCTTGTTGAGATGTATGCGAATTGGATAACTCTTCAAGACAATTTTGCTGAGATATAAGTAAACTATCTAACTGACTGGGCTTCTTATAGAACCATTTCTGGTATACGATGTAGCCGAACAAAGCAGCCGATAGAACAGCCGCCGTGCCAAGTATAGTTATAACTATTACGGTGTATTTTGTCTTGCTAGCCATTAACAAATTTCAAAATTATTGTCTGATAAGATAATAAACCAGTCATGTGGTTGAATGGTACTTAAAACCCAATATAATTGGTTCCAATTGAACTAGTCTGTCCCTTTCAATAAATTGCCAGAGATTGAGTTATTATAATTGTTGTGAATTTTTCCAAATATTTCAATCCAATCCCTACCAATATTGTAAAGAGTATACTTTCTGATTTTCTTTTTGGAATTTCACTTAGTGTTGGTTTATTATCTTGTAAATCTAGATCTGCTTCAGTCGACTACAATGTTAATTAGTAGACTGCTGAGGAGTATGGTTGTTTAAGAGAAGTACTGTATTTAGATATGTTTAGGACACACAGACACCAGGACGCAATAGTAAGATAAACAACACGGTCTGGTTTTATTGGGTTAGCACAATAAAGAACTGTGGTGTTTGTACGATTCCCCCACATATCTTTAATGGGGCTATCGAGATATCTCTACTTTTAGACGAGTAAGTACAGATAATGTAGGTATTTATTCCGTACTACTTTAGATAAGCCAAGATATTCCAAAACCAACTCAATCTTGTTATCACTTGTTTCAGAGTATAAATATACGACGAAGATTGATAAAGGATTTCTATGGCATAAAATGAAGGATTTGCATAGAACTATATCAGAACTAGAAATGGCTCAGACTCGCATATCAACCCGATATCAACACAATACTAGCCTGAATGATGATTTGTCTTTCGTTGAGTGTATTTGACTGAGAGGTCTCTATCCTCCCCTGGGGCACAACAAGAACACATAGAGAAATTGAGCTAGTTTGGTTTATTTGAGTTGTAGTGGTGTAAGGTTGTGATGGTGTCAGAGTGTGTATGGGGTGGTACATTATTAAGCCATTTTATAGATTGACGGACGATGGTTTTGTAGTTAGACGGACATCAACTGAATTAAGGGTTCCATTGCTAATCCATAAGCTAAATAGGCAAGGCCATTCTTCTGATAATTGATGATTATAAGTCTATCCTCGGTCAACTTTAGCATGTTTAGTTTGTCTGAATCATAACTGTTTCCTACTGGGCATTTATTCCAATACACTAAAGCATTAGCCAGTTCAACTCACGAGTCTATATCTGATGGGTAAAGTTGTGGGTGAATGAGTGGGTGACTAAGTATTTTTAGTCTTAAAACCTTATGTTCTCTGTCTCTTCCTAGATAGCTAGAAAATAGATCACCTCAGGATTCACAATGTTATATAAAGTGGGCAGAAACTCCCAAAACCCCCAAAGCACCACAATGAGTCTATCTAAGTTTAACGCACCTCCAGATGAGGTTTACTATTCAAAATCACTAACCTTTTACACTTATTACTTTTTAATTACGTCATCCCTGTAAATGAGTATCTTTAAAGGCATTATAATCTTACAGGATATATTTCCTAGTCGAGCGCATGTTGGTGTTGCTGCGGCAACCCTTGCGCTATTTAGTTTAGTTATTTCTAGTTTGTTATTGTGTGATATGATTCAAACCATCGTCAAACAGAAAAGACGACATCGATCATTTCTATTAGGAAAGACTAATGGTGATATACCAATGAACGATGCTGAAGCTCGTAGGGCGGCCAGGAAACGCATAATGCAATACGTACTACTTGCTCTCTTAATCGTCTGGGTCTTACTCTCTATCGCTGCGGTTATTGGTGCTGCATACTATTTAAGGTTGCATACTGCAGCTCCCCCATCGACTATACGCGGAAGCTCGACAAAGAATGCGGTTAATGCAATGGGTTCATCCGGTACAACAGCCACGACATCTCAAGCCGTCTCAGACCGAGTACAAAGAAGTGTTGATCAGGCCAGTAGTTTCCTGAGCTTTAAGATTTCAAATCAAACCCAATACTATCGGCCGGCCCCAGATCAATTACCTATTCCTCTGCATTTAATGCCTCAAACCCAGTAATACCATCAGGACCTACAATGCTAAACCAAATCAGCTGCAGGACAAAAGAAGACTAAGGGCTAGTCAAGACCAGACAACTGAAGATCATTTTAGCCGAATGTGATGATATGGGCAATTTTATTATTATCTCAGCCCAATCATACATTCAAATGAAAAGAACCATACGGACACCTACTGAAACTTATCAGTTATTGAAAAGTACGGTCTAAGTATTAGTTGGTTTCGGATGGATCTGAGTTTTAATTGTCTTTGGCTGATAAGCTGGTTAAGTAGTTGTTTCCTTTTTATGAAGACTACTTTAATCATGCTAATCAGACATTATTTTTCCAATATCTATACTGTACGTGCTTTTTGTTTCTTTGGCTAGGCTGTATTCGAGCTTATTGTTGGAATGATATCTAGCCAACAGTTAGTATTTTGAGTTTAGGATTGGCTTGGTGGCCGATCGGTTTTGAATTCTTTCTACCACCCACCCAATAAATTAGGTCCATGCACTGTGCGATCATTTTCTCAACACCAAGTATCATTCTAACGGCGAAAGCAATTAAATGATACACTTCTTTTTGGCAATCAACCATCATCAGGACTCACCATGCTTTATCTAATTGTTATCTATTTAGGATTCAGGGCTTGTCTTCTATCTTTAGCTAGTGAATTCACCGGGCTGAAATGCTTTAGTACTAGGAACAATTTATCTATTACTATGAATGATTGCCAGAGACCCGGTATTTGTATTAAAGGAACAGAATATTACACGGGTAGGTTTATCATTAATGCGCTTTAATTTAAGGGCAAGACTCCTGTTCAATCAATAATCTTAGGGTGTGTTTTCAGTTGATTATGGCGTAGATGTTTTGAATTACAGAATGTACTGAATGTTGCCAGTTTGTGTGGAAATAAGTAACCTGGAGTCTATTGGGCTGTTGGACAGAGATAAAAATACTTGTACTATTCAGTACCAATCTAACCTTCTTTCTTTGAAGGGTTGATTTTGATTTAATTACCTACGAAATCTAGGCATGCCCAAGAAGTGATAGTTGTTCCAACAAGTGTTCCAGGATATGGTGTCCTCACTGGTCTCCACTTTAAAATGAGTTATCTATAGGGTAAAGTTCTTTATTACGTATTGTTGGTTTGGTTTAGTATTGGGTTGGGCTAGTAACATTTTGAGTTTGGTATCGCAATTCCAAAGTATAAATATACTCTAACTTGGAGAGATATCTCAAGACGACGCAAACAAGGAGCACAAGTTATAGAAGTTAAACCCAGTATATTACTGACTCGAGTAAGCTGAGTTGAATAAATTATATCCCAGGTCGCTTCTAAATCTATCTTTATTTGGCTGTGTTTGGTTGTAAGGTTGTATCTCTTCTCATGGGTACGGAACTAACTCAATTTACTTATCTGATTTTGGTATAAATGAGGCAATTGCAAAGACGTCAACTGGGGGTTTATTTCGCTTTCGGTGAGGTTTAAATCGGGCATCTCATCTTAATACTAAACCAAACTTGACGTATGGTCTTTGCCAGGACTTGGGTTTAATGTAAAGTCTATTTTGGCACTTCATATTGAATAGATTAAGATACTTATCTCATAGATTTATATTAAAGTTGCAGGAGGTCGTAGTGCCGATAAATGGTTGATATTACTGGCCAAGTTGGTCGTGTGAAAGAAGAACAGTGACTGTATGCCAGCACTTTATTTAGATGTAAATAAGTACTAAATTCAGCTATCGATTGTGGCCGATCGAAAAATAAGTCGTCTAGTTTTCTAATCTATTTTTAACAAAATCATATTTTTGAATTTCTTAAAGATCTTTATTGCTCTTATCAATTTCCTGGATCAATAATCCTGTGACCTCTATATATATTCAATGCGATTTGCAAAATCCATGACATTATCTCTGCGCATGAAGACACTATCAGGTGCTTGCACTCAGAACAAACCAAGAGGTTCATTGCTGTGTGCCAGTAATTACAAACACGTCCCTAGCACTAGCCATAGCACTAGAACTACTCCCTTAAGAACCAATGCTTATACAACCAAGCTATCTCACTACCGAGTGATGATATCTAATTGGACTGCAATTAGATTGTGTGTCTTGTTGGTACTGTTGCATTGGACCAGTATAGTGAGTGGCTCGAGTATGGAAATAGATCAGCTGGTTTTGCCAAGTTCAGAGGAGATACTCAAATCTCTAAAAGATGTTGGGCTCGAATGGGCTCGTTGCGATGCTGCATATATAAGTGCTATACTATATCCTCCCCAGGAATCCACAGAATCCACATCTGGTACAGATGCCAATACTAATACAGATTCACCCCAACAGAATTCTACACAAAAGCCAACACCTAGGTATGTGATAGATTGTTCAAACAAATCCATTCGGTTTAAGCCCGGGCGCAAGTGCAACCTGGGTAAGGAATGCTTGAATGTGTTAAAATGGGTTAGAGTGATTAAGGCCAGAAAAGTTCTAATTAAGTATGCTAGAGGCACTAGAATGTACTATCAAGAGGGCCAGGCGTGTTTGTGCCGACTGATTAACATCTTTGAGTGTAAGGAGATGGAATTTTTGGCTAAATACAGCGAGAGCACAGACCCATATCCAGATGAATTCGATTTAGATCTGTGCCGGAAAGAGGCTAAGGATGCAATTAAGTATGTTAATTTGGCGCCATTGAATTTGCGTGTTGAGACAAATATACCATCAAGTATCTTTCTAAAGTATATATTTGAAAGAATCGTTATATTGCACCCTATTTCACATCTCACTTTGTATACTAACATGATACCAGACTTAACTGCATACTTTGTGCCTCTATTAATGCTAGACAACTACTATTTCACAATTCGATACCTAACCCCAAAAGTTTATGTCGACTTAGAGCGTCTTATCAAACAACTTCCCCCCAAATGCGTCCAAATCACCATTGATCTCCACGAAAACATAGAACCGATAGTATCTGGACTTGAAAACTTACCTAAGGAAGACATAACTATAGCTTTAATCGGAAAATTGGATTGTATTGACTATCTTGTAGATTATAATCCGCGCCCAATCAGGGTTCATATCTTATCCAATAATGAGCAGCCTAAAGACCAGACTTATATGTTGAATTATTCCCAGGAAGATCAATCATTTTCTGAGCCCCGTATACATGCCGACAAACTAGTTTATACAATCCTGGCTACGCACCCTTGCGATTTCTTGTTTTACTACAAACGGATATTGACTCCGGAATTCTTTGTCCAACATGGCATTATTGTTAACGATGTCCAGACTGTGTATGCTGATGACCGAATGGACTTTCGTGTGGAACTAGATAACCTTTGTAAAATCGGTGGTTTATCAAAAATCCCAACAGATCTAGAAGAAAAGAAGATTGAGTGTCTTGGCCATGCACTTAGTGAGCCCGGGTGGAGACTTGAAGACGCGGTTAACATCAAACTTAGCGCCTTCGACAGGAATTCTGTCTTCTGCCAGCATATATGTTACACAACACTTAGTATTAGTGGAGATACAAATCCAACCCAGCAAGATCCTCCCCGGCCCCAGATCGACATCTGCAGCAAGCTTTTAGATGGGCTACGAAGTGTCAATGCGCAAGAACTTCGTATCTCAAATGTGCGTGATTATCCTCCAACTGACATTAACATTGACATGGCCAAGTTAAAGCTCCGTTTAGCTAATCCTCGAAAATACAACCTCAATGTCAAGACTTTGATTCTAGACAATGTTGATGAATGTATTTTATACCGAATGCTAGGCTGTTATGAGTTTACTTGCTCAGACAAAACTGAAATTCATCTCCTAAACCAACGCTTTACTAGTCTTGCTTTCGCCCAAATACTAGCTCTTCCTATGACTGAAAGGATCTCCAAACTCGTAATCGAGGGCGCCGCTCGTCTAAATGAGCTCAAGCATTTCCACCAGCGAAAGGAATTGGATGGGTTCTCACTGTTTAACTATCTCGAGGAGCGTAAAGAGAAGAAAGAAACTGAAGAACTTGACCTCCACAAGCTCGTCCTAATCCCCGAACCCATCCTCTTCGACTCGTATAACATATCCTTACAAGCGCTCAAAGACCTTGGTGTCCAAATAACAACCCCGCCTAATGAATACATCACAGATCCATCTTTCCTCCACCAGCCCCATATGATAGACATGAAGAGTTTCACCTATTGCACTGCGACTCTTGATGCCTTAAAGAATGACCTCGCTACTTATCAATCTGCCTTGTCTATCCAGTCGGACCAAATCCCAGCCCAGCCCAATCCCACTACTGATCTGTTCTTGCGTATCAGTGGCGCTCAAGTCTTAACGAAAGCAGATTTAAATACTATTATCTGCTGGGTAGGCTGCCGGCTCCAAAATCTAACAACTCTCTGGCTGGCCAACTTTGAACTGACCGAAGAAGACCGAACAACTTTGAGTTCATGCGAATATATGGCTAAAAGTCCACCCTATCTTCAACTCATTCAAATAGAGGATACTACCCCCGGCAAAGACCCAATTGAGCTATCACTGCATCTATATCATAACAATCTGCAGGCAATTAAGGCCGACTCTGAACATGACTTCGTTGCAGTACCATATAAACTACTATCTCGCCTTTACACCTACTGCGACAAAATTGAGGATCACATTTCCGGCTACAATGACTCCAATCTATCTTTTCAAATCATCATAAAGGTTCTCAAGAAAGAGAAGTTGCTTGGCGATGTGCCAGAATGCCAAGGGTGTAATAAGACTCTTTATATGCCATCAGAGGAAACAAAGCGTGAGCGACCAGATACTAACAAACCAAGACGCCAATTCAACCCAAAGACAAACTTCCACATACTTTGTTATGTCAAGTGTGGAGGCACATTCTGCATTCATTGTGCCAAATCAATGCCTTATAGGCACCTCAGGCAATGCGACATGTGCACGTACCGAAAGCCAGCAGCTACTTCCAAGCGGCTTATATCCATTCCCTCATCTATCTGTATCTTCCCTGATATTAGTGATACCGCAACCACTATCGATTCCGCGTGGTCCCAAATCACACGGCCAAACGACAGCCACAACTACTTTTACCTGGTCTATAATGACAGAAAGTTGTTAATCAATGATATTAACAAAGAACAACTCGACCATATTCATTTATCTCTACACACACGCTTTGAGTAACTCCAACTCTTAATTGAGCTATTCAACTGTGCTTTTTACCCACTTTAGTGC